GGACTACTATCGACGAGATCTTCGATTCTACTTTAGATTGTTTCGGCTAAAAATAACTCGATCTCATATTCGAGTATTCGGGCTGCATACCGCTAAGTCGAAACTCCGGAAAATCATAACTTCCTCATACGAAGTCAGATTTGGGCGTTCTTTTTAAGCACGCTCTTGGTTTAGCATATTCTATGACTTTCGTATAGATCATTAAGGCTAGATATCGCTCTATCTTAAATTTATATTTTACGTTATTCAGCGTCGTGTCGGTTCTGTCGCGAAACTTCGACATGTCATAACTTCTTCGTTATAACTCAGATTTCGGCGTCCTTTATATATTTGGAAACCTCGTTTCGACCACTACAACATTATCCATAGATATCGAGCTTATATAATATTTCATTTTGATGCTCGTTCTTAACCTTTATTCAATTAAGACACACAAATAAGCACAAAACACATAATACTCAAATAATATATTTATATTATTTCAAAATGGATTACAAAGGTTAACCTAGACTATTACATTAACATTAATGACAAGCCCAGAAACACAGGCGTTACACTGCATTGACAAAACCATAAAAAACAAAAAATGATAGCATATATGAAAAAAATGGTATGCTCCATTATTGACTCGATTAGAAAAAGTAACAGTTTGAGGGTTAGTGTTGTTGGCGGAAAATGATGGTCGTTGTGGGAAGATCCAGATGAGGGCAGAGAAGTCGATATCACATAAAGTATTTAGGATGGTGTAGCGGGTACTGAATCGGAGAGGTGTGTTGGGTTGGAAATGATGTATAGGTGAAGGCGCCCTGGAGAGATCGAGGTGGTAATCATACATGGGGGAGATAAATGTAAGGAGACCACAAGATAGAACCGACGTAAGTGTGATGAATTTCAAGGCTATATGGTTTTGAGATATGGTAGCGACCATCGACTCTAGGGTGGTGATGGCGGTGGACACTGTGATTATTGGAGTGTAGATCATGGCAGTAGTTGAGGAAGTCTGCGAAAGTGGCGGTAGTGGAGGTTGAGTTTTAGGGGAGCATATTTTAGGGTTTCTTGGAAATTGGTGGTCTAGAGAGGGTGAGAATAGAGTGGAAATGCTTTATAAAGTGTATAGGCTATTACACTAGCCAATTCAATTGGATGGAGGTTAACAATACTTGCTCAACTTTGACGCATTCAATTCTATCCAGACCTTTTCAATGGTTGATCTGATTTTTCTAGAATACATAAAATAGTTGTATATGATGCTTTAAGGGTTGTATCTCTTAAAATTCAATATTTTAGACTAAATGCTTATTAAGGTATACATATATATATATATATATATATATATATATATATATATATATATATATATATATATATATTTCAATTATTTAGTTGTTTTTTTCTGCACAATGTGCGAGCGCCTAAGGCCAGAGGGAATTACGCCACTGAAACTGCACTCATTTCACTGCAACATGTGCGTCACATCACTTTTTACCACACAAGTGTGGTTTCTTGCCACACCCAATGAGTGGTGTCACAATTTTTATTTAAATAATTTAATTAAATAAAATTTCATTTTTAATAAAAAAAAAAGACAATTTTTCAGTACTTCAAAATTAAAAACATTACATTAGTTGACTAAAAAAATACATAATATTAAAAAATCCAACAAACTTAAGAAACACACATCAAACGATTAAAATAACTTAAAAACACAAATAAAATAATTAAACCATATTATATAAAGTCGTTCTCCGAGAACTCGTCTCCCGAGTTATCCGGTGGATTCAAATTAAGGTTAATATGTTGAATCCCGTAAATGTGTTCCATAAAGTCTGTGCAAAGATTGTGAAATATTTCAGTGTAAAGTATCTTTGCTTTCCTGTTCATATACTCTTCGCCACCAATTTTTATTGGTTGTGTCTCGGGTATGGTTTCTTCCTCGTCAAACACACATATCGCTCTTCCTTCGTCTTCAATAACCATATTATGGAATATGAGACATGTATATATAATTTCTTAAAGTTTTTGCTCGCCGAAATAAATTGCTGGTTTTTTCAACAAAAATCAACGTTTCTTAAGAGCTCCAAAAGCACGCTCGACATCCTTCCTAGCTCTTTCTTGAGCTCTCTTGATATTTTTCCGTCTAGAACCATGTGGACACGTAAACGATTTAACAAACACAACATACTCGATATAGATCTCATCAACAAGATAATAATCATACTTATATGACGTTTCATGCACTTCAAAAGAAGAATATGGTGTAGATCAATCATATATGTTGTTAAATATAGGTGAAAGATTAAGAACATTGATGTCGTTAATCCAAAAATCCTGTAATGCAACTGCTTCAAATATGACCGTTGGGTGACCATGATCACATTGGATAAATTGCTCATGGTGTGAGGTAGGGCAATTTTCCCATGTCCAATGGAGATAATCTAAACTTCCTAGCATTCCAGGAAACTCATGCACACTAGCATGATGAGCTTGCAATTGTAATATCATTACGTGTAGGCTTATGTAAATATTTTGAACCATACAATTGAATCACAGTTTTGCAAAAATAGTGGAGATTATCTTGTGTAGTCATAGTAGATATCCTAAAACTCTCGTCCAACGCATCAGGCGTAATGCGATATGCTAACTGACGAAGTGCGGTCGTGCATTTTTATAAGGGAGTGAAACCGGGTGCACCTCTAACATCGGAACGTTGTTCGAAAAAACCGCACTTCTCCGTTACATCTTCAATTATATGTTCGTATAAACGTTTGTCCATTCTGAAACGCCTACAAAAATAATACATTTGATAAGTGACATTCTCTTGAAAATAGTCTTGTATCAAACGTTTGGCTGGTTTCTTCACAATTTCTGCAAATATATCTTTGTGTTCTCCGTTGAGAATTTTCGACTGCGTTATTACATAAAGCATCATACGTTTGTTTCGCCATTTGAGCACAAGCAATAACAACATAAAAAATAACTTGAAGTTCTTCAAAAGATGACATTTTCTATTAATTTTGAGAGAGAATGTTATAAAAAAATGTAAAAATTTGGTTTTGGTTTGAAAAAATAAAATGAATGGTTTAATTTATAGGAAAAAAAAATGTTAACAGTTTTGACTGTTCAACGGTCAAATTTACCATTACTCAATCAAAAAACACAGCCAAAAAGGAATAAGGTTCGACTTAACTGTAGGAGAACACTGTCTCCCCTATGCGTTTTTGAGCGACCAAAACCGTATAGGAAAGACGTTGTTCTCCTGCTTATGTGGCAAACCATGCAGCAAAACCGCACCACTCTCTTGAATCTAACGTATAAATAAAAATTGCAATTTTCAACCAACCCATTCAACTGATACCTTTGATATCAGCAACATGAAATCTTATTGTTTATTTTTTTTAATATATATAAATTATATTATTCCCTAAATTAATATATAAATAAATAATTTAAAGTTTTCATGCAACATTAAATAATATTGAGTAATTTAAAGTTTTCATGCATGAAATCTTATTAATAAGATTGAGTAAATTACACGAATGATCCCTATGGTTTGGGGTAATTTGCGTGTTTGGTCCCTAACTTATTTTTTTAACTCGGAAGGTCCTTACTGTTTGTTTTTGTTACGCGCTTGGTCCCTGTCTTACCCAAAACGTCTATTATTTAAATAGAAAAAAATGATGGAGCAGGTAAGATAAGGTGAAAGGGGTGAGATTGGGGGTGTGTTTAACAAATCAAGGGTAAAATAGTCTTTTTATGTATGATAAGGACCAAACATGTAACAAAAATAAACAATAGGGACCTTCCGAGTTAAAAATATAAATTAGGGATTAAATGCGCAAATTACCCTAAACCATAGGGACCATTCGTGTAATTTACTCTATTATTTATTTACTTTTAATAGGACATAATCGTTTAATTTAGTTGGCGATACCATTTATCATACGTTGTTACGAACGTGTATGCCTTGATAAAAATGACTCCCGCCGATCAACGTCACCTGCTCCGATTAGCTTTATCTTGCCGGAAAATCTCTGCTCAGGTAACCAACTCCGGCACCGATTCCATCGTCGCCATGGCCTCATCCACCGAACAAGAATTCATGACTCATTATCGATCCAAACTCACCACGTTTCCCAGGTCACACAAATTTTGGGACGCCAAGATCGCTTCGAGAATCGGTGAAAAACTAGGGTTTCGTCTCAACGACATTGGCATCTCCCACCTCGAAATTGACCTCGCTGAGGAGCTGTCACGCCCGATTCATTACCGGAAAATGATCGTCCCGTTCTTTCATTCCGTCAAACGTGCTGGAATTAGCGTCTCTGGTTCAGAACAACTGGAATCCCAGCCGTAACAAAACCTCAAAGTTTATGGAAGGGAAGGTAACTCAAAGTTCAAACATATAGAAATTTTGTACTTCAGTTGAACCAATTGTTATTGTTTGATAATAAGTCTGTATAACAGTAAGTTACTTTTTATTGTAATTTGTTATCGTTCATGTTCATCAGCAACATCTGATATGAAATCAATTTCATTCCAAAAAATCTAATTACATAAAGCTAAGATTACCGATACACATTCTTCCTTTCAAGATAGTGAAGAAGTACAAAGGTAAAGAACAGAGCAGTGCCAAATGACGACTCACAAGTCACAAATTGTTTACAGTTTTTGAGCTCTTCTATAATTCATTCATGGAACTATTAATCAATATTCAAGCAGGGAGATTAGCTTTGGTTAGGCTTGGTTGCTGTAATTCAAGAACATTCATAATTCATTCATGTCAAATGTAACATTTTTCTTTTTTGATGTTTACGTATTATCATCATTTACAAATTATTGATTGATGCTATTGGTTTTGATTTTGGTGTACACTACATATGATTCATTTATTTATAAAAGCAAAGGATCACATATAGATTATAATGGAAGGTAAAATATGAACGAGGTGATATTTGTAACAAAAAACAAATCAAAGAAACAGAGAGCATGAATTAAATGCGACTAGACTCCATCAATTAAAGAAATTGTAAATTACAACATCAATACATTTATTATTATTACAACTTATACAGTATATACAAGTACAGCATAAGGTTGTTGACCATTTTACATCTATTTTTTGCATAAGACTCCAAAAATCTTTGCTTGATATAAGTTATAAATATATAAATATATGTGTTACGGGGTTTACTTACTGGTTTATGTATTGAAGCATCCAATGAGGCATAACGGGTAACGCTTGATCTTGTCTCCTTGTTTCATCCATTTCAACATTACCTCCTCCTATCTGTCCACGTGTCTCGTACATCTCACTGCATAAAACCCATTTTCATTTCTTAGCATCATGTATAATGTTAATGTTATTGACAAGATTTATTAACCCCGATTTAAAATATAACCCACCCGAGGTTTAAGGTGCCTATGTTGTCATGAGTTTGGGCTTGTGGTTCTGGTTGGGGTAGTAGCTCTTTCTCCTTTTCTTTCACCTGCTAAATTTTTTAATGTACATTTACTAATTCAGTAAATTGAAAAAAAAAATAATAATAATAACAACAATAATAATAATAGAAGCCACAAGCCAAGGGTAGTTAAGGTTACTGTTACCTCCTTTGAGAGCACGTTGTTTTGATCTTGCAATGCCTTGTCCTTTCATGTCATGTGTTCAAAAATCAAAATCATATTTTCAGTATTGATTTGATCAGAATCATATTTTCAGTATACATACATACATACATACATACATACCTTCTTTTGGAGGTCAGAAATGGTTTCAAGCATCAACTGATTCTGCGAATCATAGAGCATGATTATTGATTAAACATATATGGGTTGAAAATTTGGAAGGCGAATTAATGTTTTTTTTTTGGGTACCTTTCTTAACCTAAGGCGTCTAAGAGCTGTATCGAGTTGCTGTTCACAATTCTGAAGTTCCTTGAGAGTCAATGAATCAAGGTCTTCTCCCATTAGGTGCCTGATATGTCAATCACATCATTCATTTATTGTATCTTTGATTGAATAATGAATACAACACTAAACACCATGCATTTTGGTTAATTAAATAGATAGATAAACAGATAGACAGACAAACACAGAGACCTTTTGTTTTTCTCCAAGACATCAATTCTAGCCTTCAGTTTTGCATGCTCCAAACTCCAGTTTTCCTAAAAGTAGTAGACCATATATAAAGTAGGTAAAAAGAAGATGAAAAATGATTGAACATTTATAAAAGCATGCATATGGTGATGGATGTGTACTTGTGTTTGATGATTGGTTCCTTCATTAAGCTGCCTTTCTGTGTACGAGTGTCGATCATACCTCTCAAGGATGCTTTCCATTCTGTTGTTTGCCAAAAATGTGTCAAAGTTAATTAGAAGAATCGATGACTATATATTAGCTTGCTTTTTAATTTCATGGTGATGAATAATGATTATTTCGATATCTTATTACAAAATGCCGCTTTAGTATATAAGATTAAAACAAAAATTACCTCACTCACTCACACATACACACACACACTCTCTCTCTCTCTCACACACAGGGACCATTATCGTGTGGTGTCTAGAGTTTCTAATGCAGATAGATTGCTAGGTTTTTTTTTTTTTTTTTTTTTTCATGTGATGACTAGGATTGATAATGTATCTATCTCATGACTCAAATCGCTAGGGTTTATTATAATGATTGTCATTGTTTTGTTGGTTTATGAATACTATGAGAACTATGGTTAGGTGATATAATTTCTCACAAATAAATAATAATAATTGTCTAGAAACAAACAAAGATAGATAGATATCAACTACAGTTTCAAGTATCAACACTTGATTTCAATTATCGAATCAAGAAAATAAATCTAGGATTATATTGCATACAATAGCATCAATATATATGAATATTATATATTACATAAACATATATAGGATTATATTACATGAAAATTATATATGCAACAATGGATTTTGAAGAAGTTAAGATGCTTGAAGGCAACATCGACAACGTTACTAACTCTAGCTTATAATAATAGTGAAGAAATTGAAACATTTAATTTACTGGATTATAAGTATAGATCTTGGGATATATAAAAGAAAAGAAACAGGTTTTCTGTGGAAGAAGAATTTAAATTTGACGAATTTTACAAATTAATAAATTCGTGAGGAAACTAAAGTGAAGAAAAAGAAAGATTATCTTTTGATATTAGTGCAGTTTGATTTCTAAAAAAATAAAAGGTATTAACTCAGATAAGAATGCATACGAAGTAAGATACGCATAATTAACTTGGATACGAAACTTATAAAGAGTTTATTTAATTTAGGTTTTGTTTCAGAAAATAAAAAAGGAATTCGGATCAGAATTGAATGTTCTATTAGGTTTTAGTTAGGTTAGGTTACCCATTGTAACAATATTGTTACTGGTTCTCTATTTTAACGTCTTAGTTTCAATGATTAAATGATATTAATTGTTAGATATTTTCTAACGTTTAACATGAATTTCATACGAAACAAATCATCAAAAACAGTTGAGATGTTAAATTGTTAACAATCTATCTGTTGTATTCTTCTTCTCGTACTTTTGTCCCAGATTACTCAAGATAGCTAATTTGATCAAAACTGAAATAAAATATAACTAATACAATTATAAATATAAATAAGTAATGGGCAAGGTACAAAAAGATGCAATATATTTTGATTATACCAATCTATGCAATGTGTTTTCTTTTACCGTTTAATGTAACAAACTTTATCATTTTCTATATTTAATGTGGCACGTTACATAAAATGGTAAGTTTGTTATATTTAATATTAAAAATTTGTAATTTATTAAATAAACTAGTTTATAACCCGTGGAACCTCGGTTATAAAATTAATTAAATTTTAATAGTTAAAATTTAAAATTATTAATAACTTATTTTAAATAAATTATTAATTAAGAAGTTTTTTTAGTTATATAAAATTATAATCATTGATTTAAATAAATATGTAAAATTATTTCATTTTATAATTTGTATTAATTTTATTTTAATTTTTAATCTAATGTTGTTAATTTAATGTAATTAGAATGAGAAATTTAAAATTTGAAATGAAGAATCAATATGTTAACAAATGGTATGCATTAATTATAATATTATAATACACAATAAGGTAAAACATGATAACAAAAATTTGCATTAATTATGAGACTTAATATGGTGATACATGTCAAAAGGAGATTAAAAACTACTTTTTTATTAAAATAGGGAGATGGTTAGAAAAAGTATGTTGACTAAACCAAAAAACATTAGAGTATCTTCAATGGTTAACCTATGTTATAACTTAAAATTATTGTTACATCATTATCTATTAATTTGATCTCTAAATAAATGACTTCTCCAATGGTTAAAGTTATTTTAATAGCTTTTTCTATAAATTTAACTAATTTACCCTTATCTACCTAAAATATTTTATAGAACATCTAATCTAATTAATCATTTTTAAATATAAATCATATGTTAATATGAAACTATATAATACAACTATATCAAGTCTTTATTTATATACCTAAAATATGAAAAATTATTATGTATTAATTATAAAAATACAATAAAAACATTGAAAATATTATAAATTAGTTATACAATGACATATGTTTCAAATGGAAAGGGTTAAATTTACAAGTTATGATACTATATTGACCATTCAATATATATTAAGTGGTTAAAATAAAAAAGCAAAAAAGTTGGTTGCTTCAATGGTTTTAAGTTGTCATTTTAAAAAAGTAAATATTAATACACTATAAAAACACGTCCCATCGGAGATGCTCCAAGGAAGGATGTAATAATAAACAGGGAAGACACAAACAAATTCAAAGGAGTTCCTTTATTTTATGATCATAGTTAGAACACACTTGAGGTGAGGTCCAACATAAGTGAAACAATTATGTTCGAGTCTCACATCAACTAGACACGATCTCATTCACTTTTATATGCTTTGAAGTTGTTAGATACTTTTACCATGTTACTTTATATCGTTTTGCATCATTTAATTTACACAATCATAAGAAATTCATGCATTTCACAAAGTTTTGTGATTTTCTTAAATCTAATGTACGATTTACTTTTAGTGATATGGTTTGATTTTAGGTTGCATCACGCGAGGGAAGTTTGTATTGTAGTTTACTTCAAGTGTTATGGTTTTGATTCAAGGTTGCGAGATACAAGGGAACGGATTTGTTAGTGGTTTTATTATCATATATCCATTTGGTATAGTTAGAATTTATATGAGTTTTAAATAGGATCAAACTCTGATCTAATTCAAGTTAAGTGGATACAGAGTGCACACTTGGATTAGGCGAGTATGATCTTGAACACAACAAAATACATGGTAAGGGGGCTTTGTAGGGTCTAATAGGAAACATCCTAAAACCTAAACAAAATTTTGAATCATAAGTTTAGTGGAAAATCATGACTAGATTATGGAAAAAGCCTAGTTCATTGATCAGAACAGAGAAAACTAAAGTTATTGGACAACTACCTTGGGTTTGGATAAAGACAACTCAAGCTTCTAGAATGCTTCCATTGTTGACCAATCATGTTGCCTCAGGCAACCATCTTGTTTTGGTCAATATCTTGTTTGGTCAGTAGTTTATTTTCCAAAAATTGATTTTATCCGCCTAAACTACTATTTCATCATAATTTACACTTTTGGAGCTCTTCTTAACTCCTTCAATATTCCTACACTCTCTAGCACATCGCTTTCTTTTTTGTGTCTGAATCTAGAAGTTCCTTTGGTGGATTATTCTACTTTGGATTTGATGTAACACATAAATAAAGTCAAAATATCAATTACGGAAAGTGAACCTACATGATCCATCAAATATCCAAGAATCCTTTAATCATAAAATCACCATTTTCATACCCAATTTCGAATAGGAATTGGGGTTAATAAACAAGAAAATAAGGACATTGTGGGTGGATGGGTGAAATACGTCTGAAATAAAAAGAAAAGAACCATAAAGTTCAAAGCTTGGAGTACACATATGTGCCAAATTTACAAAGAGTTACACGTCCATGCCGCTTACACATGTTGGTGATTTTAGTATCATTAAACATTTTGCTATAGAGATTAACTCAAGACACGATAAGTTCAACTTTGGCTATCAGACGACATTGGAGGTGTGGTGCGGACATTTGGATAAGCTAATATAAACTCATGAACCGGGGGTCCAGGTGCAGCGCCCCCGGTGGGGTTCCAAGGGGCATTACCCCTTATTGGGTTATAAGGGGGCAAGGTCATAGAGACAGAGCCAATCGTCATGTATTTTGGAAATATACACAACTTCCTGCTAAAACTCATTGAATTCAACTGACTAGTGTCTTCATAAGAGATAGAATTCAGTTGTTGTAGATAATCTTCTATATATCATAATGTTACTCTGCCAAAGTATTGTCTTGAAGAACACCAAACAAAAGCAAAGTAGCTTATGTTTTTGTCTTGGATATTGCCTAGAATCTATATTCCACTTTTCTTAAGGTATCCCAAGTTTGAATTCGTGTAACCCTGTAAATAGGATTAAATTATAAATTTTTGAAAAATGTTTTTAACACGATCCACAATATTATCCAACTCTTGTTGATATTTTGAACCTATATATATCTAACACACCCGTGACAAGTGATAAAAATACTATATATGTAGCTTGCCTTCATTTTACATAATTGTGTTAGATTTGGTTGTGGGCTTCACCTATGCAGCTAGTTGTTGATTGAGCTTCTGGTGATTTTCGTAGCTTTTATTTTTGTAGGTTAGGGAGACGAATATGTTTTTGGATTTTGTTAGGCACATTTTCTAACTAGAGTAGCGATTTATTGGTCCAATAAACTTCATCTTTTCATATTTGTAAGTCAACTTTGTTGCATTTTCATTGTTTTATCTTGATTGTAAAAGTGACAAAGCCGCTAGATGTGACAAAGAAACTCCGGTGTTTGATGCTTTGTTTTTAATTCTTATGTGGAATGTTGTGTTTATATGTGATCATATGTTTAATTCGATGTTTATGTCGTAAATAAATTAGATAATTAATATACAAAATTAATTTGTTAAGTTCGCTGAGAATTTGATATGTATGTTACATTATTGAATTTAAGGTACATTATGTTGAATTAATGAATGTTTATTGGTTAAATTATACAAAGGGTTATCATGGCTTATTCATTATTAAGAAAATTGTAAATTTAGTCTATGTGGTTGTCAATGTTTTGTGGTTACAATCCAAAAAGGTTTGGACTTATACTGATGGTCCAAAATCGGATACCTTTTGTGGTTTTGATCCCTACCACACTTGAAATGACTTTTTTTTTTTTACCATTT